TACCCGAGTGTCAATTTCGATTCCTACTCGAAACCGGCGATGACAAGGTCGGTTCCGGTTCCAAAAAATTGGAACCAATACTGTGTGGCTTCGGTTCCGATTCTAAATCAAAGGAGCTGGGACTAAAATAACATAATATTAAAGAATAAGGGGTTTTTTGATATTTTGTAGGGGGTTTGATATTTTACGTGTCATATAAATATATAAGAAAATTTTGGTTTTTTTTTTTTTTTTTAAATCTTAATATCAAAAGTCTTATTAATTTTTCAATAAAAGATCAGTTCTTCAAAATATTTTTATTAATATTTAAATTTTACTTATTATTTGAATAAGAAACTAATATACATTAAGATATTTACGTTAAATGATAACTTTTAAATGTTTATTATGAGTGGAAACCAACAATTAAATACTTATGATCAAACATCAAGTAAATATAAACAAATATATTATTTAATGTTTTGCACTTACTTCTTAGGCCTATCTAGTAGTTAGACATACTTAGTTGTCAAATAAATTATCAAATGCCACTTAAGTGAATTAAGAAAGTTAATTCTTTTTTACCTTTTACTTGATAAAAAATGTGTGAATAATTTGTTTTAATTATTTTGATAATATTATCATTATTTAGTAGCAACAATTATCCATATGTCCAATTAAATAACTCTTTTTATACTTATGTCATGCGTCAACACTTTTTCACTTTAAAATCTCTATTTAGCGTGTTATATTATTCGATAGAACATTTTAATTCAACTTAGTATTTATATTTAAGTTTAAAAACTTAAAACATCTTAATTCAACTTAGTATTTATATTTAAGTTTAAAAACTTAAAACATCGTTTAAATTGTATGACATAAAAATTATTTAAATAATAATACAATTAATATCATGTGAGCAATATATCAAAATACAATTTTGGGAGGATGAAACTTGATATGTTATTAACTTATTATGTTATGTTATTGTGTAATTTAATGTGTTATGTAATTTTAATTTTAGGAGGATGAAATGGATATTGGAATAGTTGTAATTTTTGTAAAGTCTGTAGGGTGTATTTGTCATTTCATAAAACTATTAGGGGTGTAATTTAATTTTATAAGGGTTTATTTGTCATTTAATAAAAAAAGGAGGGTAATTGATATTTTTCTGGGTACCGGAACTGAATCTGTAACACAGGTTCCGATTCTACGTTTTTAGGAATTGGAACAGACAATTCTGGTTCCAGTTCCAAATCAAAGGTACCGGCCGTTTCCGGTTCCTTTGAATTCCGCCCACCTCTACAACCTTCCACCAAAAGATTTATTGGCCTCCCCTCTTCAAAAGTTTCAACAGTTTGGATCGAATTTGTTATTTGTTCGCTGTCAAAATATAAATTTGGATAATAAAATAGTATTTTAAAAGTCTGTGGGTGAGAAAATGTCATTAAACAATTATTTGGTTAGGAAAAAGTGGTTAACTCATTTCCAAAGCTATAAACAAAAGCATCAAACTCTTGAGCCTGATCAAAATTAAGTTATCTTGACCATACCAACAGTCAAAGCTGTATGGCGGCTTCAAACCCAGATCGTGTTTACATTGCATAATGTATATTTTTACATCGTTTAATGGATTAAGAAAAGCATAATAATGATATTGTTTATGATGTTTAGCCGCTGGTGTGAGTAATGTCCGGTAAGTTTAATTATGTTATTCATTTGTTCCTTTCAATGCTAACTAGATAATTATGACCATATCCATGCGTGAGACATGTGCAAAATTTTAATATATTTCGTTGCACAACACGGTGACTTCTTTCAGGCGTTAATTGATTATGCTCCAGGATTGGGGGCTGTCAAATACATTAAGTATTGTCTGTTAATTCTTTAACTTACCATCCCCTAAGTGCCCTACCCCTCCAAAAAAATATTATTGCTACAAAATTAATTATCATACGGAGCCATATAAATTATAAGAGAATAAAATTCGGAACCTTTTAAAAACTGCATTTTTTGGTAAAGTACATAAGCATGCTCACTGTACCCTTCCTTAATTAGCATGGTAATTGGAGATTAAGTGATTAGTCCAAGAAAATCACGACAAGCATGTGTTGGATATTAAAAATATTTAAGGTAAACATACCTATCAATACAGATTTTCCAAATTAATTCTGATTATTCTTAACCCAAATTTCATACCCATTCAATTTATTAATGGAGAGTATTTTCAAATATCAGATTTGGCCATTGAAGCATCTCCACGCGTTTGATATTGAGGATAAATTAACACAAAAATATCAAAGGCATAGACTGACACTTCTCTAAACCTGGAGATTATTTAATCTGTCACTGCATATATATCTAATAAAATTTGTCAAGAACACTTTTCAGAGAGATCTTAATTTGACTTTCAATCCCTTATCTTCGATATTAATTCTTTATTCATTAATTTCCACGGGCAAAAGTGTAGAGGCCTTAATTAATTAGAATCTAAAGTATGTGTACAGTCAAGGAGTATATATTCCACAGCTAACATATCATGCAAGATTGTTGACCCAGATAAGTCTTGATATCCTTGATTAGAAGATACGTTGCTCAGAAACTAGAGATTTCTTAGCTAAATTCTTTGTCTCCTGCTGTCACATGTAACCTTTTTCTTTTGAGGGTTTGCGTATACGTAGTCTTAGGCTTCAAGCAAGATCAAAAAGCAAAAAAGGTAATTAGAGTCGCTATCAATATAGAATTGAAGGTCATTGTGGACCGAAAGTGAAACTATAATTGGACGATGAACAACACAAGAATTTTCAAAGATACTGCCTGTCTTTCTTTGACCTACCAATACGACCCTAAAATTTTGGGTTTGGAACAAAGTCGTTGTTAATAGTTTTTGTTTTATAGTTGACTGATTAAGAGTTTAGACTTGTCAGTGTCGGTACATGAAATGTCATACTGATTAGACCTCGTCATATATATATATATATATATATATATATATATGCATGTCAACATCTATGCATATAATTAGGACAATTTTACTGTTATTGTCTGGTAAAAAAATTCATGAAAATATACAGCGGACGACATCAACCATGATTTTCTTTTTCTTGATGTCATGAGTTGCTTTTGGGTTTCGATTCTAAAAGATAATTGGATGAAATAATTTTATATATGTCTGAAATTTAACGGTAGAAATTAGATTGGACAAATAGCTTTTGACATTTTGGTTTCTTAGAGGTACTGTTGTTGTCACGGGTTTAATCTACCCTATAGGCAGTACTTATGCTCAATTCAGAGCTTTCAAAGTTACATCAGTTCCTTGATTCATCAGTTGGTGCCCACACCAAAATTAAAACAGAAATGAATTAAATATTATAAAAATAATAATATGTTATTCTTTTCAAATATAAGTAAATTTATATTAAATATTATAAAAATAATAATATGTTATTCTTTTCAAATATAAGTAAATTTATATAAATTTTGTCATATAAATTGGTATGATAACATTGTATGTAATCATACTAATTATTTAATTATCAATTTCTTTTTTTTTTTCAAATATGTATTTGATTCTTTATATTGCATTCAGTTTGTATAAGAACAATTTATATAAAAAGTTTGTTGATATTATAAATAACCTTTCTTCTCTTTTCTAAGTATCTCATTGGATCCCTCACATATAACACTTGAAACCGTTGTTAGCAAATTAAAATTACTCAATAAAACTCTAAGGGTTGGCTTGGTGGTCAAGAATGGTTATTCCCTTTATTGATTTTTTGGATTCAAACCTTGGGGTCACTCACTTTGTGACTTACCTAATCTTTTAGGTTTGTAGAGTGTTCAAAGGATCCCAAAATTAATTAAGGTACAAATACCAAAAAAGAAAAAAAAAACTGAAGAATTAACCTCAGGTCCAGAATATCTTATGGGACCGGTCTTGCACTGTGGTCCTGGCATACGTGGATTAATAGAGTACTAAAAAGTTGTGGGCTGTTACTAATTCAAGTTTGTTTGCCAAATTACCTTGGCTTCTCCATCATCCTTAAATTTGAATTGGATATATACAATCATTTACTGTATGCATCTCCCAAATAAGAGAAAATTTAGTTTAGTTTGACAAAATTAAGGAAATTATAACTCTAATGTTGAGATGTAATTACGATTAAGTCTCATAATTAACCCCACAAGCCATGAAAGGTAATACTATTTCATAGAATCAAGCTCATGCGAAATGTCATTGCACACGAAAGATAGTTGATAACTGTAGAGAGGTGACGGGGAAGGTGAAATGATGAAGGAGCAACAGCAACAGCAACTAAATGTAATGATGGGGTAAATGATTGTCCATGTAACAGAACGAATGTGTAATGGTTATGAATAGAATATTCTCAAGCTCAAGAGAAAGAAAAGCAAGTGCAAATATATATACAAATGTAAGTTGTTTTTGTACACTGAAAAATGGGTCCTCCATTCCCTTATGAGCTTCTGGCTTCATTCATTTCGTTTCAGTTTTGCCCTTTTCCGCAGATGAACGAATTCAAACAAGTTGCCCATGTGATTTCTTTTTAGCTTATTTCTTAATTTGGGACCACTTCCATGTGCCCACTTGCACACCATTTCTCTCTTTAAACATTCAACTCTCCAATGCCTCAAAACCCTAACATCTCTACCTACCTATCTATTTCTCATTTTACGAGGAATACCAAGATGGAATTGATGCATCACTTCACGCCATATATTATTCTAATTGCGATTTCAATTCACCTTACAAGTGTTATAGTGTTTCCCAGAAGCCATCCTTGTAATTTCTATTTGCAAAGTCATTTAAGATCAACCAGTTTCAACAATTTAGAAAGCCATTTGGACATGTACGTATATAGCAAAAACACTCGACAGAAATTTGAATATTGTGAATGTGAGTGTGTGGTGTGTAAGAATCTTATCTCCTTTGAAAGCTTTCATGTGAGTTTACAGTTGTTCTGAACTACAACGTATTTTCCTATAAATTTAGCTAGAGACAAACAAGGACGATTCATAAAAGATAAGACTCATGATACATGAGTTCTACTGTTCCAGATACAGCAATCAAGAAAATAAAAGACAAGAGTGTGAAAATTCAATTGATTTTCGCCAAGAAAGATGCATTATAATCTAAGAGGTGAAAGTTGATGCGTCCCAGATGGACACTTCACAGCTAATATTGATATTCATGTAACTAGCTAATTGAATAGACAATCTGCTCCGTAATATCTTGATTCAAAACTGCACCCTGCAGCTCATCAGTTCACCTTACAATAATATTAATTTGATCGAAATTTTACCTATGACATACGCATTTGTAGTGGTAGGCACTGTTGATTGGGTCGTTTCCTTCGACTGGAACTTGTTCAGCTCTACACTTGTATTTGCAACCTCTACATTCATTATAAGTGCAAGTTGGTGCAGTTGAGCCAATCATTAATCTTCTTGAATTCCTGTTTATCTTTGCTTCACTGCTTCCCTGCTGGCACCAAAATGTTTAAACAAGGAGATTAAGTATGATGACACATTGGGCTAACGTTTGCAGTCAATGTTTTCTCAGTTCTTACCTTCAAATGAGATGGAGAGGAATCAAAGGACCTTTGATAATAAGGAAATGTTATTTGAGTTCTAGACCCTGCAATGCTGGAAGGATAAACATGAGATATCCAATTGCAACAAAAATAAAAAAGCAATTCTGATAAGCTTGAAAATGGATTCCTTAAAGAAAAATGTGAATGAAAAGGAAAAAAAAAGTATATATTAAGTAAGTATATCCCACAAAGGAAAGAAGATTCGGAGAAAGAAAGAAGTGGGATTATGACCTTGTATCACAAATGCAGAAAGCAGTAAAGCGAAGAGTAGCAAGAGTAGGTTGCATAGTTTAAAGTTAGCCATTCTTCAGGAGTAACCTTGAAGGTTGATATGAAATGGAGTTGAAGGAATTTGAAATATTATTATAAATCAGATAGATACAGAAAGGGTTGTGGCTAAATAATGGCTATAAGAGATAGACTGGCAAAATCTGCAGTGAATCAGAGTAGCACACCGTAGGGGTCCCCAGGCTCCCTAAACCAACAGATCGATTGTTGGGACTAAACCAATAAAACATATTGAGAGGGCTGGACCCTTTAGCTACAATTACTCAAATGCTCATGTCTTTTATTAAAAATCACTCGTTTACATTATATTGTTTTGATATTTTGAAGGGTGAAAAGAGGGATTTCAGTTTTAAGAATAACTTTTGTTTTGGAATTCAAGTTAAAAAAATCATTCGTATGTCTCTAGATGGGTAGAGACATTTCACCCACCAAAAGAAGCATCCAGGGATTCCAGGCTTAGATAATATTGCTCAGATCCTTAGATATATGCACTTCCTGCTTCTTGTTTAAAATAAGCATCCACAATTTTCAACGACAGTTATTCTAAATTTAACACTCAGACTTGGGAAATGATGATTCAGGCTCTTGTTTCCCACTTATATTATTCTCTGAATAGTATAAAGGGTTTTCCTTGCAACGAAGTTAGCTTGGTCTCTATTTTTATTAAGATTTTGAACTGAGAAGCGTTTTTGTTCTAGCTGGGGCTGATTATCTAAATACATAAGAATACTGAATCTTAATTCGGACTGAAATTAGACCCTACATTTTTAAATTCATCGTTTGGATTTGAAGTTAAATTTAACGAATTTATATATCAAAACTAGAGAATCAGAATTTTATATCAAATACAAGCTCAATATTTGACTTCTCTCTTACACCCTTACATATCCAGTTATCCATACGGGACCATATTATGCTGACAATTGTTCGAGTGGGTCTTGTTTCTTTGAAAATTTAACTACTGGGTTTCAAAGGACTGCACCTTTCGAAATTGATTTTATGAAGTTATTAGGAAGTACAAAAGAAAATGATGGCTTATGGTGATGAGGGTTTAGCCAGTAATTATATGTTTATTTAAGTAATTTTGATTAAAAAGTTTCAACCTAAAAGATATGTAAAAAAAAATTATATTTTAAAGAGGTTTTGATATTCTTTTCGGTGATTCTTAATCACAATTTCATTTTTGAGGTTAATGAAGAAATTATGGGCTATCAAAATTTTCCAAGTGTGAACAGAAGCCCAGGCTTTTTACAGCCCAAAGATTGCCTTCTTATTTGGAAAGCGGTTAGACTTCCCGCGAATGCCCCAATCTTGAAGAATACCAAACCTTGCCGCCCACACTCTCTCAATATCTCCAAACAATCCCTTTCCTTTCACCTCCAATCTCTTCCTCCTTACTAATCACTTCCAAGAAAAGCATCCATCTCTCTTCTATATCATCACTACCATCACCATGTCCCTTCTCCACCATTCAATCGTTTCCTTCCTCATAACCAGTTCTCTTCAACACGTTTCTTGTTTGTTCAATTCTCATCCTCTCAATTTTCATTCCCGAAAATGGATTCTCAGCAAGAAACTAACACTATGGCCAACACCGCCATTGACACCTTCACCGACGCTGCCACCACCACTTCCACCGGCATGGTGAGTCTAACATCGAAGTACTCGAACCGGGTACTTGTAAAAACCATTGTTGAACGTGATGATGGTGGGGTGGGATTGATTGGTGAGAGATTGGTAATTGGCGGGTGGGTAAAGTCTTCCAAAGAAGTTAAAAAAGAGCCGGTGACACCAGCACCAGCACCAGCACCAACATCTGATGATCATGGTGCTGCAGTGGCTTCAAGTCCTAAACGTAAAGAAAAAGATGTGAGCTGTGTGGAGATTCTTCAATCAAGAATCCCGTTTTTCAGGACAATAATAAAGGTTTTGAGTGGCGGTTCTGGTGGTGGTAGTACCAACACTATCCGTGAGAAGTTGGAAGCTGTGCTTCCTAAGCCACCACTGCCTTCCACTCTCTTCTTGCAAATTAGTGACGGTTCTTCTGTAGCTGCTCTCCAGGTACAACTTTATGGCTATATATATGTTTACTTCTTGAAAATAAGGTTTATTAGTAGCTATGAAAATGATAAATCTATCCATTATTTTTTCTTCTTTTGAACTAATGAAAAACAAATTTACTTATATACTCTCTATTCTTTCAAAAAAAAAAAAAAAAAAAAAACTTGAATTACGATATTTCAGGTGGTGGTGGAATCTACTTTGGCTTCACCTAGCAGACTTCTGCCTATTGGAACTTGTATATTAGCAGAAGGTGTGTTGGATCATTCATTTCAGGGAAATCGTGTTGTTGAACTCAAAGTAGATAAAATTCTTCATGTTGGGACGGTTGATCATGATAAGTATATTTTATCAAGAAAGCGACTACCACTCGATAAGCTAAGGGATTCTGCGCATTTTCGGCCTCGTACAACTACGGTAATTTTTTCATCTATTGCTATTCTGTAATTTTCTTTTTGTTTTTGCATCCCTCATTACAATTGAGATGTTTTTATCTCATCATATAACTTCACAGTATTACGATTGGATATATCAGCCACATCTAAAAGCACATCTAGCATGTTCAATTTTCCGACATAACAAGCATATCCAGAAACTAAATCTTAGAATGTTTAACGCCATGTAGGTGGCATCTATTATGCGAATCCGTAGTTCCCTGTCTTTCGCAACTCACACATTCTTCCAAAACAATGGGTTTTTGTATGTTCAAGTTCCCATTATCACCACCACTGATGCTGAAGGATTTAGTGAGAAGTTCCAGGTGACAACTCTTTTAGAAAAAGCAGATAAAGAGGAGCCAAAAGCCGCTAAGGAAATTGAAGGCGTTAGCCTTGACAACATAAAGGCTGCTATAAAGGAAAAAAGCAATCAAGTTGAAGAACTCAAGAGAAGTGAAAGCAATAAGGAAGCACTCGCTGCTGCTCTTCAGGATTTAAGGAAGACAAATGAAATAGCATCACAGCTAGAGGCAAAAGAAAAAACGCAGCCAGCGCCTTCAATTAAGACTGATAAAATTAACGTTTCTGAAGATTTCTTCTCTCGCCAGACCTATCTCACTGTTTCCGGTCGCCTTCATTTGGAGAGTTATGCGTGTGCCCTTGGAAAGGTTTACTCATTTGGACCCAGGTTTCGAGCAGAGAAGAAAGAGTCATCTAAACAAGTGGCAGAGATGTGGATGGTTGAGGCTGAAATCGCTTTTTCACAATTAGAGGTACGAGTTCTCCTTTACAAAGTCAGTTCACCACTATCTAAATTAGTATTTTTTGTAGTCGGCATTTTGCTTATAAATTCACAAAGTCTAGAGATTCATATAAGTGATTCAATTTTGCATAGCTGAAACATAGGGGGATAGTCATGTGCAAATGTACCTAATTTGGGTTTCATTAAGACTGTACATGCCTTCAAGATAGATACTATAACATGGTAGTATTATTGACCGAGTTTATGGTGCTTTCCGCCTATCAACCAAAACATTTATGTGGAAAATATAATGACAATCATATTCTTGAATTAGGAGTTTGTCCTTGCATACTATGCATAACAACCAGCTAAGATTATTTGGAACCATCTACATTAGGCCTTGGTCAACTAACAGATTGGTCATACTGTCCCACATGCAGAGTAATTATTCTATGTTGATATTTATACATTGCGGATTTCCCAGGATGTCATGAATTGTGCGGATGACTATTTCAAGTTCCTCTGCACATGGATTGTTGAAAACTGTGAACGAGATGCGGAATTTATCTCCAGACGGATTGACAAAACCATTATTGATCGGCTGCAATCAATGATGTCATCCTCCATTGAAAAGATTACCTACACAGAAGCAGTGAAAGCTCTGGAAAAGGTAAAGCTGAAGCTGAACAGTTTGGTAAAACATGTTGACATTAGCAATTTTATCTCATAAAGCCTTTTTTCTTTTGTTATTAATTATTAACTAGGTTACAGAAAAGATTTTCGAAGCAAAACTCGAGTGGGGTGTGGCTCTCACAGCCGAACATCTAAGGTATTCATGTTCTGCTTTTAATATAAATATGCAAGTATCTGAAATGACAGGAGTTAAGTGGCTGTTAACTCTTGCTTTCTTTTAATTTAATGACAGTTATTTGGCTGATGAGATCTATAAGTGTCCTGTAATCGTATATGATTATCCCAAAGCGGTTAAACCATTTTATGTACGCCTTAATGATGATGGAAACACAGTTGCAGCATTTGATATGGTTGTACCAAAGGTGAGCTCTACATTTTTCTAAAAAGTTTAAGGAACTAAATACATTTTACATTCTAGGTTAGTTATAAAAAGGCCATGCATATGCTTGCAGGTTGGAAAGTTGATTACAGGCAGCCAAAATGAGGAACGCCTTAATAAGCTGAATACAAGGTAATCTAATGCCAATTCAATTCTATACGAACTAATCTAGGAGAATAAATATGTTTAGTTTTCCGGAAGTTTTAATAAACAAGTTTAACCTGAGGTCCCTCTGACGCTGTATCATTCTCGAGTCCATAAAATTGTTCATTGATATCTTGTTTCAGGATCGAGGAATTGGGCTTGCCAAAAGAGCAGTATGAATGGTATTTGGATCTACGCAGGCATGGAACAGTAGCGCACTCTGGATTTAGTCTTGGGTTTGAACTCATGGTTCTCTTCATTACTGGCCTCATTGATGTCAAAGATGCAATCCCTTTTCCTAGAAGTCTGGGAAAAGCCAACAATTAGTCTGATTTCCTGCAAAGTATACTCCAAAGGCGAAGATATTTGATCCTGAACTGCTTGTGTTGTTGAAAGAGAAGAAAATGTTATGTAAACATACACATTGAGATTTGAAACAGAAAAAGCATATTGTAAATATTGATAATAGAGATCGCTCTGTAGCATTTTATGCTTATTTGATCTGATGTACATAACTTAAATAAAATTACAGATTGAAATAAAATTGTCTTTAAGATCATGCATCATTTTCTCAGAAGAAACTGGTTTTGATGTGGCAAACTAGGACTGGAATATCTATGGATAAACTATTGTCTTGATTGAAGCATCAGGGTGGGTATTGTTTGAATCAAGAGGGAAGAAAAATGGATAGAGTTCATAGCGAACGTAACAACTACTATATAGAACTCGACATCCCTTCCTGCTGTCGCAAAACTTAGGAAAATTTCCAATAGCAATGGCCAGGCACTGAGCACAATTAATAGGAGCTAGGTCTCTTGTGCACTGCACCAAAGCATAAAGAGTCAGAAATGATGACAGTGTAGTTTTGCCTTTCCCAAGCCCTTCATTCTTAGGCAAAACAGCTTGTGATCTTATCTTGTCCATTAAAGCTCCTAGTTCTCTGTTAAAACTTTCAGGATCTGTTACATTTTCAACATTATAGTAGAATATACCATAACCAGTGTCAACTTTCCCAACAAAATTCTCTTCGTTATATCGTAGAAAGCAATAGTCATACCAAATCCTAGCATCAGCTTCATCTGGACAACGTTCGCGAATTTGCTTCGCTGCATCTTGTATACAAGTTGAACAATCTTTGCTGCTGACATCTCCTCTGCATTGTGCCAGGCCATAGACTTTGTGTGGGTCTTCACCATAGGAAGTAGCAATGTAACCAGTTTCGGAAGTTTTGGAAACCAGTTCATCTAACAACTTATCAATATTAGCTGATACCTGGCTACTGCCGCTTATGCTAGTGCCTTTGTTACAATAATCCCCCAAAGGATCAGCGGCAAAACAGATGCATAGAAAATTTAATAGAAGAAAACTGGGCAGCAAAGTCATTGTTTTCATTTTTATTCACTTGAAGCTCCATTAAATGAAGGTTTTTCTTATAATGACTTGGTGGAAGGGATAATTGGAGTGGGATTCCACAGCAGACATTCTTGACTCATCACTTTTCATAGGCTCACTACGTACCACAATGAGTGGAAGACTCGAAATAGTTTTTTCTAGAAAGTCTTTCTTGATTTCCTTTTACTTAAATCTATTAAAAAATATAATAACTAAATACAAAATTGTGCACCATTGATTTTTAGAATTGTATGTTCGATTCATTTCCATGTCTCTAAGAAACTAAACTAAAAATCATTAGTTGCTGGAAAGAATCTGAAGTTGCATTGTCAGTAAAAACACCATTAATTTTCTAACAAGCTCCCTGGATAATAGGATTGTCATTGAAGTCACATCCCACAAGTTGATAATGACAATAATTATTATCTAGCGTGTAAATACTAAAATAATATGGAATAAAAAAGAAAAACAATAATGTTATGCTTACCAAGCTTATTAACTATCTTACTAATCTTTGTAAATATAAAATATAGTATAGGTATTATAAGCATAATATGGATATCATATATAATTTTAATAAAGATGAATAAAATAATTCATAAATTCATAAATAAACATAACATTACTCAAAGAAAAAATAATCATACAAAAAACAAAGAAAGAACACGCCTGAATTTGTTGGTCGCTAATTCCAACAAATACCATGTAGGAAGGAAATGATAGCAGATTTTTTTGAGCGCACAATGTATTGCTTCCTTAAAAGTCAAATTTAAGCACTGATATTTCTATGAAAATGTTCAATAATTGTTGGCTTATTTTGATGTATTATTTATTACCATTTTGACTTTCGACAAATGGGAGTTTAGTCAATGATTTTTTGGCCATTGCACTGCACTTGAAAATGGGATAGAGAGATTAATGGGGACATTTTATTAAAAGACCATTTTAACTAAAAATTTAATTAAAAGGTTATAGAGTTTGTAAATTTTAACTAAATGGTCATGTTTTTTATTAAGCTTAATTAAACATAATTAGGGGATTAATTAGGATTAATGAATAATTGTGTAATCTTTTAAAAATTATAATAAGTCTCTAAAGAGTCAAAAATCTTGCAAATAAATCCAAACACCTTCTTCTTCTTCCTCCCGCCACATTAACGCATTCCTCCACCATTAACATCTTCTCCAACACAGATCCTCCTCCTTCTCCTACTGCTACTGCTGAAATTTCGTCTAGGTATGCGTATCTTCCCTTTCAATTTACAAAGATTTAATGATGGATTGGGTTTGGGTTATGATTTTGATTTAGTTTTTTAGGTTGTTGGATTGTATTTGATGTAATGGAAGTTGAAAGGAGTGGAATTTGTTGAAAATTTTCTTGCATTGTGGGTAGCTGGGGGTGGTAGCACTGATTGTAGATGGAAATGACTGAAAACGTGTTCTGGATATGATGGATTGCTTAAGTGATCTAGTACGTCTAGTAATGCAGCAGATAGATCGCTTAAACGATCTGCTAAAAGTCTGGTGTATAGCAGCAGATCGCTTAAGTGATCAGTAAATGACATAATATCGCTTAAGCGATCATACCTATTTACACTGGATCGCTTAAGTGATCATGCTTATTTACACTGGATCGCTTAATTGATCATGCTTATTTACAAGTAAACGATATCCCAGATCACTTAAGCGATACACCAGATCTGTCAAGTGATTGTGCAGATGTTTTTTAAAATATTTCAACCCTTAGTACATCAGTTAAGAATTTTTTTTTTCTTGCATTATAGGTAGTTGGCTATTATTAGACATTGGACAAGTTGTTTTGGGTGTTGAATATTTTGGTGAGTGGGTGGAGGAAGAAAATAGGTGGAAGTGGATTGGGAAGAGCAAAGAAGTTATACAAATTGCTGTGAGCACAGAGGTTAGTTTTGATGAGTTGATTGATGAAATAATTAGAAGAGGTGATTTGAGTTGCTCACGTAGTGATATAGTTGTGAAGTATATTTTAAGCAGAGTTCTTGAACATTATAAGGTACCTCCTGCTATATTAAAGTCGAATGAAAGTGTGAAGTTATATATGATTGATGTGGCCGATAATGGTTCGAGGCCGATTTTAAGGGTTTCTTTTATAGAAAAACTGTTGGAAGTTGGTTTAAAGGAAGGGGATAACGAGGAAGTTGGCGGAGATTTGCCTGGTTTTAATTTGAACTACGAGGGCATTGATTTGTTAGTTGAAAAATCAAGAGTAGACGGTGAATTGGGTGGTGAGGAGGACACTGTAGAAGAGGTTGGTCATGGGTGGCAGAATGAAAATGTTGAGAAGGAGGACCCCGTACATGTTCCCGCAGATGTAGAGATTCCTTTAAATAAAAATTATGCAGAAGGTGTAGTTTGTGAGGAAGAAAACACTATAGTCGTTTATACAGGTTCAAAGGGGGCAATTGCAGGTAGTAGTGAATCAGCTCATGTTTTTATGGATGGATCAGAGTTACGCCTAGGGTATTTGTTTGACAACAAAGAGGAAGTGGTGAGGAAGCTAAAACTTATTGCGGTGAGAGGTAATTTTGAGTTCATCACCAAAAAGTCAAATTCATTGGTTGTGACAGTTGCATATCATGACCGAAAGTGCAAGTGGCGGGTTTATTGTAGAAGGTTGGCGGAGTCCGAAAAATTTATTCTTAGCATATATACCCGTGAGCACACATGTGGTTTGGGACATATTTCAGGTGAGTATCGACAGACCTCTGCTGATGTTATTGGACAATTTGTCAAAAGTCAGTTCGTTGAAGGGAAAGGTCCATCTCCTAAAGAGATTCAGAGACTTGTGCATACAGAGTTGGGATGTGTTGTTAGTTACTGGAAATGCTGGAAAGGGAGACAACGTGCACAAGATTTTGTGAGGGGCACGCTGGAGCACGGGTACGCAGTATTAGAAGCGTACCGTTATATGCTTGAGTTGACAAAAGAAGGTAGCAAGACGGCTTTGAAATGGGACAAGAATATGATGTTTAAATATATTTTTGTTGCTTACAGTTCTGCTATAAGGGGTTTTGTAAACATGAGAAAGGTGTTGGCTGTTGATGATTGCTTTTTTACGGAAAAGTATGGAGGTACATTGTTGGTGGCCATTCACAGGACAGCGAGAATCACACATATCCTGTTGCATGGTGTGTGGTTGACTTTGAGAATGACAAGTCGTGGACTTGGTTTTTTCAGCAATTACGTACGATAGTGCCTAACAGTGACGTGTTGTGAATAATATCTGATAGGCACAACTCTATAAAGAAGGGGATTGCCACTATTTACCCTCAAGCACATCACAAATTCTGTATGAGGCACCTTGGTGAGAACATAAAACAAAAGTTTAAGTTTACAGGCCTCCTTCAGATATACTACATGGCAGCAAAAGCTTATCGGGTTGATGAGTTCGAGGAGCACTTCTAGCAAATCCGAATCAAGGATGATAAAGTTGCTAAGTATCTTGAGCATTATGTTGGTTTCGAGCGATGGAGTAGAGCTTACTTTTCTAGAAGAAGGTTTGATGTCATGACCACGAACATAACCGAGTCCATAAATTCGAAGTTGTTAATAGAAAGAGAGTTTCTAATAGTTGCACTTTTTTACGCAATCCAGAAGACATTGTCATGGTGGTTCCATGAGCGTCGTACGGAGTCAGATAATTTTACTACAACCATTGTTCCGTCAGCTAAAAAATTATTGCGAGAGCTTATGAAACTGTCAAATGCACTGTTTGCCTGTCCTTTTAATTCTCAAGAGTTCACTGTGTGCGGCTATGGTCTGGATGCCCTAGTTAACCTTGTTAGTAAAACTTGCAGTTGTAAAGTGCTTGACATTCAATGTTTACCTTGTCCTCATGCACTAGCAGCACTGAAACACCAACGGAAGCCGGATTTTGGTTCAAGAATTTACATGGAACTTTGCTCCCCTCTCTATATGGCAACTCACTACATGCTAGCTTATTCAAAAAATGATATATCCAGTGCCTCCAGAAGAGCAGTGGGTAGTGCTGCCAGAGTTGGCTGACATTATCATCCATCCGCCATTCAAGAAGACAGCAAAGGGGAGAAAAAGAGTTAAGCGTATTCCATCAACCTCTGAGGTTCCTCGAAAGATAAATAAGTGCTCAATTTGCAAGCAACCTGACCATAAGAGAAGCAATTGCTAGAAGTAATCCCATGCAGATCCAGAAAATTAGGTTTGAAGGAGGATGAAATTCAAGGAGTTGCCAAGGCCAACCGTTGATGAGTTATTGTATTCAATTATTGATGTTTTCAATTTTAGTGTTACCTTGAATAAATAATTCTTTATATTTAGTATTCTTGTTAGACGGCCTAAATATGTGTTGGTTGGTGATTTTAGTTTGGAATTAGGTTGTCAAATTGAGGAGAAAGTATAGAATTAATATGTGTTGGTAATTTTAGTTTGTCAAAAATTAGGAGAAAAGATGGAAAAGTATGTATTGCCCATGATCTATTAAGCGACTAAGTATATCGCTTAAGCGACAAAGGGTTTTTCATAAAGGATTGCTTAAGTGATATTATGGATCGCTTAGGCGATCGTGCACCTGGGCATATATTGACTCTGCCCATCACATGATTGTTTAAGCGATCTATGATCGCTTAATCGACCAAGTGAAAAAGAGAAGAATCGCTTAAGCGATATCACGGATCGCTCAGGCGATCGTGCACCTGGGCAGATATTGATTATGCCCATCACATGATAGATCGCTTAATCGACCAAGTGAAAAAGAGAAGAATCGCTTAAGCGATATCACGGATCGCTTAGGCGATCATGCACCTAGGCAGTTATTGATTCTGCCCATCACATGATCGCTGCGATCGCTTAATCGACCAAGTGAAAATTTAACCGTCTTCTTCTTTATCCATATCTCAACTCTGAAGCCATTTTCTTGCTCCAACTCTGAATATATAGGGTGTACGATTTGTTCAGTGAAACTTAACCGTTATTATATTTTAATTAAAC